GAGAAGCACCAGAGTGCCCAGGGGCAGCTCTGGCTCCATGCTGCAGAGTGCTGTGGTATCCCGAGTGAGGGCAACCAGAGCATGCAGAGAAAAAAATGCTTTGCTATCCCTCATTGAGGTAGGCAAGCTAGCAGGGAAAGCTGAGAACCGGGTGCCCAGGGGCGGGAAGGAGGGGAGTCCCTTTAAGCTCAGGCCTCAGATAGCCTCAGGCAGCAGCCACACAAAGTAACTCCTGACCTGATGCCCTGCCGAAACTGGTTCCGGGTGGCCTTAAATATGATTCAGTGTCCACTCAGTGTGGACGTGCTATTTCAAAATAGCAATTTCGAAATCCATTTTGTGTGTAGACACGTTATTTCAAAATATCTTATTTCAAAATAACTATTTTGAAATTAGATATTTCCAAATAACACTGTAGTGTAGACGTACCCTTAGAGTGCTTCTACGCAGCAGGGCTTAACTGAAAAAGGCTATGCAAATTGAGCTACATCAGTTGCGTATCTTATTTTGAAATAGAGCACTCTTCCTCCAACTTTCCTTATTCCCACATTTTAAAAAAAAGTACCATGATGAGGCAAGACGCTCATGGGTCACCTAGAGAATTCCAGTCTTGATTGTGCCCCATATGCACACACAATAGCTAATGAGATAAACAGACCTGACCAGTTGATTGTATATCCTAACATTCCATTGATGTCAATGGAAAACAATAATACAGTAAGTGCAGTAGAAAACCAGCAGTGATGGGCTTTTAGGGGCAATATATTTTATAGCTAATAAAACTGATTGTAAATAGAACATAAGGCTTCTGGAAATGTCCATCAAATCAGCAACCTAGAGGTCTTAACCCTGCAAGCTCAAGATTCTTGAATTCTTGCTACAACAGGCTATACACGCATGAACAAGTAAGGTTAAGTACTCGACACAGACCTTCCTCTTATTTATAGATATATAACCCAAAAAGGGACAGGTCATGGGCAGATAGTGGGCATATTTGAATGGACATAAACTTAACCATCAGGAGGCACACAGTAATGTGTTCCCCATTTTCACCTTACTTCTATCACTAGGCATGAGTTACTTCCATTGTAAAGTTGTACTTTCATTAACACAGGATTCCTGCACTGCTTGTTAACTTTTTCATGTGTTTCTATACTCAACCTTCACACTTGCCTGGTGCAGGATCGAGTTCTCAAATTTCTATTCCTTTAGGTTTGGGATAGTATTGAAAAAAACTACTTACACATACAAATATTTCAAATATAAATAATCTCTACTAATAATTTTACATTGTAAAATTTAAAAATTTGCCAGAAGTTTAAACAAGGAAATTCCGTCCTGGGGGGGAAAGGTACTTTAGTTCTATTATTCTACTTAATACCAACATATCATACACACACACATATATACACACACATACATCCACATACATCCCCATACCACTGAATCATTTTTTGTTAGATGTCTTTTCTTCTTTGCTAGACTAGAAGTAATATCTGGATTACTAATCTCAACCCCCAACATAAATTAGACACCAATCAATCATGCCTACCTGACGTTTTCTTCTGAATTTCTGAAATGCCTTCTGGATGCTCACAGTCTCCGTTTTATTTCCCTTTTTTTCCTGATCTAAATCTTCAAGATACACCATGAAATAACAGTTCCTCTTCCTTCCTGATTCCATGCTCCTTTCTTGATAACTACTTTGGACCTGCAATTATGAGAAAGTCTATTTTACAGACAGGTTGTAATTAAAAATACAGTTGCTGAGCCAAGTTGTGTATATGTGACACCCAGTGGGGCACTGATAATCCTGTCATCAGTTCAGCAGTAGAGTAAATATGAGAAAAGGTAGATCCCAAGCCATCCAGATGTTTTATGAAAACTGATCCAAAAATATTCTCATTTTATCTAAAACACAATCAGCAACTGGAAAGACTGGATTAATTGTTTACATCAACTATTCATCACTTTTCTTAGGAGCTGGTTTACATTCTTCTAACATAGTCAATATGAATAGATAAACACTCAGGTTTTAATTCAAATTCTTAGTAAGTGAATAATATCTCTTGGCTTGATTGAAAAGTGCAGAGTAAGAACTCTTGGGAATTCTCTGATTTCTCCTGTAAAATACAACAGAAGTAAAGTAAGATAACTTCATACATACCTCTCAATTCTCAGTTTGAGTGGGAAATGTAAGATATATATGACTGCAAAATTGTCTGATGTATATATTTTTGGTAAAAATCAAACCAGTTCTATCAAATTCAATATGTAATTTAGTCGTCCCAAGGGTACCTGTACATGCCAGAAATGTCAAGTTGTTTCCCTGTTTGAGATACAGAAATTCAGTTGCCAGCTTAGTGGACCACAAAATTACGGCAATTTGAGATGGATTCTCTTGACCAGATATAAAGACTTGCAACCCTTACCAGTATTTTTAC